AAACCAACACTCATTGTGTTCCATAGTCATTTGGGGACATATACCCATGCAACTACAAATTAAAAAAAATTTGAAAGTCAAAAAGAGAGGAAGTAAAAGACAGACACAGAGGGAAGCATCTGCTGATCTACTCCCTATTTGTATGTGTGTGTATGTATGTGTGTGAGCATATATTTATATTTATCTGTAGTATTTATTCAGGTGGGACAGGGCCAGGCTGAAGCCAGCATCATGGGATTCAACCTTGGTTTCCCTCGTGGTTGTCAAGGACTGAAGCACTTGGGCCATCACTAACTTCCCCTCAGGGCACACATCAGCAGGAAGCTGGAATCTAAAGCAGAGCCAGGCACCAAACCAGGCCCTCCCATATGGGGTGTAGGCATCCTAAGTTTCATCCTAACGGCTGCACCTAATGTCCACCCGTAGAAGAACAAGTTTGAGTAGCATAGTAGCATTCTGCCTTTCATTTCAGTTCTCAGCCTGGAAACAACTACCCTTTTCATGTCAATTTAATGGCATGTTTTCTGCATTTTGATACTTTTTGTTTGAAATCACCCACAAGTGTAGTGCTAAATTTTCAATGCAATAGACTATGATGTGCTTAATAGAGAAAATATGTCTTTAATAAACTTAAGAGGATGAATGTTGATTCTCTAATATCATTCACAAAAATAAGAAAGTAAAATAAAATATTATAAATAAAAATATTTTCTTAAAATAAAAGTACTGTATTTGTTGAAAAATATATATATGTATATGTACCAAAGTTATGACAAAATACAAGAAAATGATAACATGACATTCAGGTGAATAGATACTTTTTAAGAGAAGGGAGAATGAAACAGGAATATATAAGGACTATCAATTAAATTATAATGCTTTATTCCAAAGATGGATGTTAGGTACACAGATAATCTATTTAGCTATATATCTTGAATCATTTTGTATTTCACATGAAATATTTCATTGTTTAAAAACAGTAAATATTAAACCAAAGCTTAGTAAAAAAGTTACTGATTATTTCACCGAACATACAAACATAGACAGCTAAAATATATAAAAACACATTTATCAAAAGGAAATTAATATTTCTTTAAGACACTAAGATGTAGCTTTAAAATTAGGGGTTAGATCCAGTTCAAAATAAAGGAAAACAACTTTGAAAACTCAGCTCTGCTAACAGTAGATGAACGTCTATAGTAGCAAGGAATTGGTCATCTTAGGAAATTGTTTAGCCCAATCCATTAATGCTCAGTGGGCATTCAATCATCCCATGACTGTTAAGAAAACCCTGAAAGTATAAATTAGCTTGCTAGAGTATTATTTGTATGTCAAGATTCTCCTGATTTTTTTTAAATCTCCACATCTACATTTATAAAACTAGAATTCAAAAGCACATACCACATGGATGGGTGATGAAGATTAATTAGCAGAAAATGAATATACTTAACTTAAAAATGCCACATGAATTCTAAATAATGATATAAAATATTGTCATCTATAGGAGTTTATATTTATTATGATTTATAACATTTATAATTTATATTATATATTTATTACTGGATACATATTACATATACATATAGTATATGTAAACATGATTTTTTACACTAATAGAGCCCATTTCCCTTTGGGTTTAAAAAATTATTACTCTCAGTAATAATAAATAAATAATAATTAATAATAATAATAAATAATAAAACAAGAAATAGCTCATGATTCAAGGTAAGAACAAAGAATTAATCTTACCCTTATATAGTTCAGATGGAATCCACCCATCTAGGACAATGCCAATAAATAAAAAAATAAAAGAGCAGGGGGTCAGTTGGGTACAGAAGGGTTTCTTTCTCCTCGTAAATTTCATTTTAAAACTGCACCTGACCGCTATTCTAGGAAGGATATGAGACGAAGTGGATCATAAACATGATTTGGAATGGGAAATCCTTTCCTTTTATGCTCAGATAAACTGGCTTTCTTTGACAAGTGACCTTTACTCTTGTGTTTTGGGCGACCTGCAGGAATCTGCAGACAGACATGGAGTAATGACAAGTGTTATTCAGCAAGCCATCCTTCCAATCCTTTCTTCCTTGGATGTTATAGCTGCTTATATAAATATAAACACAAGTCTTGGCCACTTCCGACCATCTAATACATGTGTTAATTCGTGTGACATTCATAGGTGCCAAGTGCAGAAAAAAAGAAACCATGATATTACACCATGATTCAGCAAATGAAGTCAGAGTTTTTATAAAAGCTAGCCTCACATGTGTTAAGTTCCCTGTTTGCTTCTGGCTATTAAAATGTTACAAAAACAGCAGGCTAAATAAGACAGCTTTCCGAAGAGCTGAGCTATAAATTTTTTGACATATTATTTGATGAAGGTAAATAGTGTCATTTTCTACTTTATTAACTTCATGTGATCTGCACTCTGATCTTAAAAAATTTATTATATTTGGAAAGGAGAGGAGATAGCTTGTTCAAAATCTCCTCTACCTATAATTTATTGAGCCTCCTACGATTGGCCTGCATTTAAAGCACTAATCTATTCCTGTTATCCATATTTGGTAATGGGATGTATTTAGTTTTTCTTCATCTAAAAATGTGACAAAACAAGACTAAGAGATGTCTTCTTGAAGGGCAATGGGATTTATGAATCATCAAACAGAAAATCAGTTTTACTCTTTTTTTTTGGTAACAATCCATGTCTACTTAAAATATTGCCACTATCCTAGTTCTGTCATAGTTCTTCTTATTTTAACTTCCAGCATTTTCAAGCAATGTGTGAATTTGACCTTGACATTATTAATCCTGGCTGTGTTTGCTGCAACTTTATCTTCATTTCCTCCCAAGGAGCCTGAGTAAGTAGACTGTGATTAACCAGGCAAGAGAACAATTTTCAGCTTATGCTTTCTTGAGTCTAAACAGCTGATTTACCTTGTATGTCCCTGGGAATTATTAAACAGGATGCCCATTAATATTAGTGAATATGTGCAGCACTTTTCCTTAATAAGGACACTGAATGTATATTTTCTACATGGAGGGAGAATTTCTCTAGTTCAGTGATCTTCACAATTTTGCTCTGTAGAGACATGCTTTTCAGGTGATGCCCCCATGGCCAGCATGCTGCCACAGTCTTAAATGGGAGATTGTTCAGCAATGAATGCAAGCTCCCTCTTTCCCATTTATTTATGAACTCCCAACTAAATGCCTATGTGTATAATTATATTATAACAATAACCACACACAACTTTATTCAAATTTTTTCCAACATAAATCACCTGAGAAAATCAATGTTTTAAATGTCTCCAGCAACAAATAAGGTGTGCCATGTTGCTCTCACACACATAACATCCCAGCAGTGTCTTCAATGCAAGGTTCAGAACTCTACCTCTAATAATATCTGAAGTGTGGACCTCAGCATGACAATGAAAACTCAGGATCACAAAATGACCATCTCTGAATGTCTTTTATAGAATACAGCATCATGAATTTGATAATAGTTTGTCTTAGGAAGATGGAAAAGCAACCTCCATATCCTATCATTTTTGTGACACCATTCTAGAAATGAAAGATACAAACATATGTTATACTGTCGTCTATAATGCTAATACACAAAGACTTAACCACTCAAAGGAAAGTACATGGATCTTGCTAACTTGGAGGAATCTGAGGCTATAATGAGACTGCTTATTTAGAACAAATATGAAAAACAACCAAAACATAAATTTTCCCATTCACTGAATTTTAGTTAGTGAAGAAATGACCTGCCTGAAAATATATCTCAGGCAAAGAACATTTTTAAATATTTGCTGACATTACTAGGTGCTGTGGATTAGTTCTTTGACATTTTCCACTATGTCAGATAACAGTAAATTGAACAGGAAAAGCATTTAAAGCAAATCCTTTTGTTCTATCATGTACACAGTGGGGGAGCAAAGGGGTCCTTAACTTCAGGTTTCTAAGACTTCATGAACCCTTAATATCAGGATGCAAAATGATGGTTATATGAAAATTTGAGTGGAGAAAAGTGTCTATAACTTTCATTGGTTTCTCAAATGGAGTACATGATGTATTTAAAAAAAAAAAAACAACTAAAGACCAAATATCACTTTGGTTCTTCATTAATATTTTATAAGAGACAGAGAACTATAATTTTGGTCGACTGGGGGATGGAGAGGATGTGGCTTGGCACGTTGGAACACTTTGTAGTCATCCTGACTGAATTTACCACAAGAGTGTTTCCTCTTGAGTTGAAGGAAGTGGGGGCACAGCATACATCATCACGAAACTCCTGGAAGTGTCAAAACAAGTCGTTCTGCGGTGAATCATCTTCTGGGTATTGTTCTCCCATGCATCTCCCTCCGCAACTAGGCCAAGGGTAGGCAAACTATGTGCTGGTGCTGGCCAACACTGTTTTTAGAAGATCTGCTAAGAAAATGTACACATTTTTATTTTTTTGACAGGCAGAATGGACAGTGAGAGAGAGAGACAGAGAGAAAGGTCTTCCTTTTGCCGTTGGTTCACCCTCCAGTGGCCGCCGCGGCCGGCACGCTGCGGCCGGCGCACCGCACTGATCCAATGGCAGGAGCCAGGTACTTCTCCTGGTCTCCCATGGGGTGCAGGGCCCAAGCACTTGGGCCATCCTCCACTGCACTCCCTGGCCACAGCAGAGAGCTGGCCTGGAAGAGGGGCAACCGGGACAGAATCCAGCGCCCCGACCGGGACTAGAACCCGGTGTGCCAGCGCCTCGGCTCAAATGTACACATTTTTAAAGAAGATGAGACACAAAGCATATAAAGCTTGTAAAAGTTATACCATCTAATACTTTATAGAAAAAGATTCACCATTGTTGACTCATGAAGCAGTTTATTAAGTTGTTCGGACAATATAGAATATTTATGGAGGGCTACCAAGCACTTGGCCCTGTTTCAGAGTTGGTGATATATCAGTGAATAAAAATGACCCCAATATTAACTTCATGAGTCACATATTTGTTGAAAGGACATAAAATAAATTTAAGTGAATAAAAATTCTGTAAGATGTTAGAAAGTGGTAGAAAAATAGAGTATGAAATCTGGGAATGCTGGGGGCCAGGCGGAATGCCATGCTGAGTGGAGTGGCCAGCGTTGATTTCACTGAGAAAGTGCTCGTGGTGCAGACTTGAAAGAGATGAGGCAGGGAGGCTTGTGGGTATTTGGAGGAAAAGTGCAGCAATTAGACCATCAGTGAAAAGGCTGCGTAAAGAAAGACCGTGAACAACAATTAATTGACTCTGATATCGATAAGCCTTGTTTTAACACTCTCAGATATTTACCTAGGAGATCGTCAAATCAAATTTTGACATAGGCAAATTTACCTTTCTGCTATCAAAATGCACCCAAGCTTAAAAAGGCATCTGGATTTCTGACTTAAGATGATATTCACAAATGGACTGACCTTGTAAATCTGCTAAACTGCTCAATTCCTAAGGGAATGAGTATGATAAGGCATAGATGAGCATTTTAACCTGTCATTAATTCTAGCACTTAAGATAGTACAATATGAAATAGATAAATAAATATAACTGTAGTAGAATATATTCTTGCATATACTGTGTCTCAAGAAAATAATTGTCATTAAACCCAAAAAGATTTAATTGATTTTTCTTAAGTGTCATGCTTGACTGATTTACCAAGGGAGTTTTTCAATTGTCTGATATTGTAATCACTAGCAACATGTAACCATTTTAATTTAGTTATTAAAATTAAACAAAACTAAGCATTCAGCTTCTCAGGTGCAATAGCCATGTTTAAGTGTTAAATAACCACAGATGAGCAATGATTACTGTACTGGGCAGAGTACATGGTAGAGCACTGATTTCTATGGTTGCTGGAAGTTCTATTGGACAGGACTGCTTTTATAGAAACTCTGAACAGCATTACAATTAGTAGGACTTTGAGCCAAAGTTTTGGATTGTGAATGCATAAGTCACAGAAAATGTATTTCTCCTGGGGGAATACTATATGGAAAAATTATTCAATTAACCATTTCATTATTCAATAATTCAAAAAATTATTCAACTAACCAGATCAAACATTCATATTACAAGCTGAGATTGCATGAATGATGTTAAATGAAAAAAAATTGTCAGGTCACCTAATTATAACTTTCTTGAAAGCCAATCTAGGCCGGGGCCGTGGCTCACTAGGCTAATCCTCCGCCTTGCGGCACCGGCACACTGGGTTCTAGTCCCGGTTGGGGCGCCGGATTCTGTCCCGGTTGCCCCTCTTCCAGGCCAGCTCTCTGCTGTGGCCAGGGAGTGCAGTGGAGGATGGCCCAAGTGCTTGGGCCCTGCACCCCATGGGAGACCAGGAGAAGTACCTGGCTCCTGCCATCGGATTGGCGCGGTGCGCTGGCCTCAGCGCGCCGGCCGCGGCGGCCATTGGAGGGTGAACCAACGGCAAAGGAAGACCTTTCTCTCTGTCTCCCTCTCACACTGTCCACTCTGCCTGTCAAAAAAAATTAAAAAAATAATAATAATAAAAAAGAAAGCCAATCTACTGTTACATTCCTATACAGAAAAACAGTAAATTTTTAAGTATTGTTATCAGAATAGAGATGTCGAGTCCCTTGTCTCTTCTGAATCTCCGCCCTCTGATTCTTAGGTAATTTCTAATTATTTACATGATATTTCTGCATTATTTAACTAGACATTATCTTTATTCAAAAAGTCTGGCTAGAACAATATAAAAACAAAGGTGGTCACTTCCACCCCTTGATGTCTGATGTTTGCTGTTTCAAAATAGCAGCATAATTTCCTTAATTTCAAGAATATAATTTTCTAGTTCCATAAATAAGGCCAGCAATAGAGCAGGAAGTCAGCTTGGCTTTGGTTTAAAGACATATAGACTTAAATGTTTGCCCCCTAGGGATTCAAAGGACACGTCAAAAAAGACAAACTTCAAAGCACCACGGCTATGACTCTGATGGTCTTTGAAGAAACCTAGACATAGAATAATGGCTTCACTCTGGATATTCCAAAGTTCTTCAGCAACTGCAAAATTTCAGGTGAAAAAGATAAAGAGCAAGGTAAGTTTTTTATATATGAGGCAATTAAATGTCAAGGCTCTGAGATTTGTAGATTAGATTGTGCTGGGTGAAAAGTACTAGGTCTCACAAAATAGACTTGATCAACTCGAGTTATATGGATTTTATTTTATTTTTTTGGAAGTAGGGTTAATGAAGTACTCCTAACAAAGATGTACTGAAGAGCTCACACTTGCTGTTTTCCTTTCCAGATAAAAACAAATGACTAGTTTAAGGGTGAAAGGCAACAGAGTGAATTAATGCCCATGAAGAAACTTGAACACACGACTGCATTAATGTTTATCAACTGAGCCATAGCATGACGTGGTTCAGATTCATACCGTTGCTTTGGGAACTGAGGAACATGTCCACATGCTGCCTGGCAAATGTTCAGAGTCCTAATAATTTGAGGCAGAGCAAATATTTTCATAATAAGGCAAACATTTGGTAAACTGAAATGTCAATATTAGGATTATGGGTAACTTCTCATATGTTTATGTTCTTTTCCAAATTTCATACAATAGGTAGATATTATCAATTTTATAAACACAGAAAATTTTATAAACACAGAAGAGTGCACAATGGAAATGTTACAGCTAAAAGCCTGTCTTATTTTACAATGTAATTTTGTAAGCTCAATAGAAATTTCTGGAAGGATCACAGCTCTTGAACATTCTGCAACGTTCTACCATGATAGGGGAATGGATGCCGCTTTATCCCTGGGCATGCATTTCCGAATGTATCTGAAATGTTTACATTATTAACATGCTCAAGAGCTCCCAGATAGGCAGTCTCTGAAACATAATTTACCACATTTCCAGCAAAAGCATGAAATAAAAAGCAGAACAAAATGATCAAACAAAATATTTTAGGTAATGGATATTTCCTGCTCAGACCGCTCATCTCACTTTTTGCATGTTCTGTAAGGTGCAGGTAGGATTTAAATAACTCCCGGTACTGTCACTGAAATGTGCTACATTTATGCCTTGGATCCAAATGATGGGGAAGGAGGATAAATAGCCAGTCGGAAACAAGTGTGAAAAAAGTCAACAACCAACCAACCTTACACCCAGACAGCCTTACACTTTATGGATTTAAGAGGAAATTGTTACACAGTGCTTTTGTTGCACTGTAGACCATGGTGGGAGAAAATGCTGTCTTAATTCAGGTTGCATAATCATCTTCTGTTAAATGCTTAGAAGTCCTGCTTTCTTCCACAGCACAACAATTACACAGCAGAGCATAATTATTTTACAGTCAATTGAGTGCACCAAATGGGCATATTTATGAAACCTGATTTATATTTCATACTTGCAACGGTACATGGAGCGTGGCTTTACCTCCCACCAAAGCTGCAGCCAGTAAAACTGTCGGAGGGACTCTGCTCTGGCTCCAGAGTAAAATAATTGAAGTTTGAGAAATACGTTTGAATGTTAGTGCTGCACTTAGCTTTTTCCTATCAAGTGTACTGCAAAGAGTGAAGGCAAGGCAAGCAGTGTGGTATCTGTGGAGATACTCCATAAAAGTTTTATGGCTTTAGTTCATGCCCTGTTTCTTGCTGTGGTGAGCAAGTACATTTTTCATTAGCCTATCCCACAAAGCAATAAGACCGTCTACATTTAAGTAATGACCTTCTCCATATAAACTCGAACTTGTTTTCCTTGTACTTCAATAGCCAATAATTATTTATGAAGGTTAGCATAATTACCCAAGATAGAACAGGAGTTTGGTCAGATTATGACCTTCTAAGAACTTCTCTGAACGTGTTATTTTTAAGTGTTTGAAGAGACGAGCCCCTTCTGTGTCAGAGATTTCTTTTTCTCACACAGTTGTACAATTTGCAAAGTTTCATCTGTTCTCAGTGGTGGCTTTTTAGTGCCCTCAGAGCATTTGGCATGTAAAACATGTAAGTCAAAAATGAGTTTTCAATGCAAAAAAAATTTTTTCTGGGCTAATATTCTGAGGCTATTTCTGAAGAAGCCACAGAATTACTTAATAGACGATTTTTTTAAATTGCTGATGAACTTTATGCCACATATGCTTTTCTTATTCATTGCTTCATTTTAGCTAGTTGTATAATAATACATAATCTTACCCAGAAGTGAAGGAAAGGAAGTACTTATTCAGAATTAAGGGAGAACCATGTGGTCTCTGGTCTGTGTGCAGCAGTACGTTCAGGGTCTTTCACAGCCACCTAGGGGGATCACAAACAAGAGTCCATCCTCTAATCTTGACTTCCAAATGAAAAAATAATTTTCACTCCTTGCATGATACCTGTGCCACAGTGGCTTATGTTGAGGGCTTCCAAGCACAGTAAACCAACACATTAAGGTAAACAGATGTTTTCTCTATTAACAGTATCAACAGCCTGGCTGCAGGCCAAATGAACTAGGCGTAATTGCAACTGGCCGCCCTGTTAATGGGAGAACTAACTAAGCAGTTTCTGCTGCTTACTTTCCGTCCTGAAGATGTGTCTTTCGTTGTCTGACTCACATGAGAATGGGAAGGACAGGGAGCATTTCTGAGATTTAATTAATTCTTCGTTTCCATTTTAGTCAATTATACATGAAAAGCTATAAAATGTACAGCATCTGAGAGGCTAACATCTAATCTGACTACGATATGGAAAAGTTAGGAAAAAACAGAAATAAATGTTTTTAAACACTGGAATCAGCTGCGGCATATAATTTAATTTTTATTTAAAGAGCTCTATCTCCTGGGAGATCATGAAACTAGGTTGCTGACTGCCTGCTGAAAAATAAAATAATGAAAGGAACTTGATAATAATGAGTAGAATCTTACATATTACTTATTTTTAGTCATTGAATATCATTTTTCTTAATTCATTTTATGTTTCCTTCTGTAACGACTCTTGTATTATATAAATGTGATATTTATTTAACTCTGTGCCCTGTGATCTACATGAATTGAATTTGATTAAAACAAAGGAAGCTATATTTTTTTACAATATTGTTTTTAGTAATGTAAAATCCTCAAGTAAGATTTAGAAAAAAAATATTTCCTTAATTTATCTGCAGGTATTTATGGTAAATACTCACCTTTGCAGAATTTCCTTCTGTTCTTATTCATTAGTCAATTATTTGTGTATAAATCATTTTATTTCCATTACCAAATTATCTACATAGTCGATATTGATACCCAACAGGACCTATCCTTACACTAGGCCTAGCAATTAAAGTGATGTTGACTTACACTATAGCTTCTTCTTGTGACCAACTCTAACATTTGTGTTCTTGTCCCAGGCTGGAGACAGAGTAAACTCTAGTGATAAATAGAAATTGTGTCATAAACCATGTAGGCTCAAACTGATTTTAAGTAGACTTGGTTTTACAACATCACATTGTTTCCTAATAATGGATTTCTTGAACTGGATCTACCAGCATGGAGGTGCAGCATAATGGACACACTGACAAAGCATGTTGCCCAGTAGGGAGAAAGCTTAGGGTGAGTAGACTTCAAATCCTGATGCAAATCCTGAATCAAGCACTTGCTAGTTTTCCATTGATTGGACAAATATGTAATCAATCTCCTATAAACAATCATTCATGTGTTTATTACATACCAGGTACCATCTTTAATGCTTGATTCACCACAGTGAAAAGGGCTTCTAGGAAACTTGACCTCATGGGGATCTAGTTTTGGAGAGAAAACGGACATAAAATGTCAATCAAACATCAACGATGCATCAGTGCTCATGCTGAAGAGAGGCAGGGAAGAGCGATGTGACAGAAAGTGCTCGGCCTTGGGCTTTGTAGCTCATTTAATAATGGCAGATTAGACAGTGCCACTCTGAAGAGCGGGCATTTAAACTGAGACCTGAGAGGTCATGGAGGCAGACATTTTAGGAGAGCAGGAGGAAAAGTAATTGAATTTGGAGAGTGGAGTCTACCAGCCTCAAGACAAGAGAGAGATGTGCACAATGGATAATTGGAAGAAAGAAAGAAGTGTGTCATCTTTTAGGCAAGATTTATGAACCTCCCGTATGCCTCAGATCAGGCTCAACAAATTAATTTTAATATATGTACCCCACATATTTACTTTGGGAATAATGATATTTAATGTTCAGTGAGCAGTTACTAAACCAGGTACAATTTGAAGTCCTTGCTCTGAATTATTCATTTCTATATTATCATAAGTTACTGTTAGAACCATCTTCTGGGCTGGTACCATGGCTCACTTGGCTAATCCTCCGCCTGCGGCCCCAGCACCCCAGGTTCTAGTCCCAGTTGGGGCGCTGGATTCTGTCCTGGTTGCTCCTCTTCCAGCCCAGCTCTCTGCTGTGGCCTGGGAGGGCAGCGAAGGATGGCCCAAGTCCTTGGGCCCTGCACCCCATGGGAGACCAGGAGGAAGCACCTGGCTCCTGGCTTCGGATTAGCGCAGCATCCCAGCCTCAACGCGCCGGCCGTAGCTGTCACTTGGGGGGTGAACCAACAGAAAAAGGAAGACCTCTCTCTATCTCTCTCTCTCTCTCTCACTGTCTAACTCTGCCTGTCAAAAAAAAAAAAAAAAAAAAAGAACCATCTTCTGTTTTTAGATGGGGAAATTAAGATTTTTGGTAAATCACAAAGTTAATAAGTGAATGACTAGCATATCTGTATATGTATATGCATATGTATATGTATATGTATATCTATCTATCTAGCCTAGTGACCTGCAACACAGAGCTGGCCAGGATACACAGCCCATTCTGGGATCACTTTAGAGTGAGATTTTTGGGTAGTTTCCTGTTGTGTGGAATTGGCACACCAAAGACCTAGGTTGTGAGTTTTGATTTGATTGTGTTTTTTTTTTTTTTTTAATTATTTATTTGAAAGACAGAGTTACAGAGAGAGGTAGAGACAGAGAGAGAGGGGTCTTTCCTCCGCTGGTTCACTCCACAGATGGCCCCAATGGCCAGAGCTGAGCCCAGTCCTAAGTCAGAAGCCAGGAGCTTCCTCCAGCTCTCCACATGGGTGCAGGGGCCTAAGCAGTTGGGCCATCTTCCACTTCTATCCCAGACCATAGAAGAGAGCTGGATCGGAAGAAGAGCCACCAGGACTAAAACCAGTGCCCATATGGGATGCCAGCGCTGCAGGCCAGGTCTTTAACCTGCTGTGCCACAGCGCTGGCTCCCTTGATTTGATTGTTAATCGGTAATGCCTTTGGGTCAGTCACTTCCTCTTTTAAGCACAGTTTCTTCACTGAGAGCGAGAGGAAGTGAACAAAAAGGATCTATGAGGTCCTTTTGCTTGAAATGTCATGAGAGCAACAGTCTGGATTTGGGGAATAGGAAAAGGACTGTAGGGAATAGGAAAAGCAAGGATACCAAAGAAAGAATTTAATTTTGCCCAGGGCTAGTTCTGAGTCTCTTGCATGTTAAATCACGGAGTTCTTCAACTGGATTAGTGAGTAGGTAGAATTATTGATTAGGCCACTAGTGATTATCCAGTAAATTATGCATGACTGAGTGTAAGTAGACCAACTGGATACTTTTGGTTTGTCTCCCACAAGACAAACTAACATTGATAGCTCTTTTTCTGGAATCTTGTGGGGCTACTCAAGGGTTTACAAATAGGCAACAATGTTTATTTTAAAATTTTTATCTAAAAAGATAACAGACTGCAAAGTGAGTTCTTACACTTTTAAACAGTGGGAGTTTAAATAAAATAGCTGAGTCCTTCTATTTGTCTCTATATTTTCTTTATAATACGGTAATGGCTGCTAAATATTTGTTTTTGTAGTACTTGATAACAGTAAAAGAATACATATAAATTTTTAGGCATGCAGTTCTAGAGCCAACTACATTAGTTTAAATCCAAGGGGTAAAATACACTAGTTCTGTGACTTTAGGCAACACTTATCTCCACATTTGTAACATGTGGCTGTTACCTTGCTCTGATGCAGAGGACTGTGGTGAGAATCAATGGAGATGATGGCTCTCCCGTGTTTAGTCACCTCAATGCGTCTCAGCTACTCAATCTTTCTTTTCATTCTTTGATTGCATTTCAACCTCTGCAGCCACAGAGTCAGTGGGAGACCCGGCATACTGGCTTATTTAACTCTGATTTGTCTCCTGTGTATTTTCCTTTAAACTGGAGAGTGGAAAGCCAAACACTACGTTTCATAGATCCCAATGCAGAATCTCCTGTAAGATTTGCTCCCACCAAATGAACGCACAGATATGAGACCAAGAAAGCAAAGACCAACAGTGAGACACAAGCTGGTACTTACTGCAAGTCAGCACATGACGTGAGGTCTTCTGTTTCTGCAGATATGATGAGAGGATTCTGACACCTGAACTTCTATCTTTAAATTTTATAAAGAATTATGCATTTATTTAATTGAAAGGCATGATGACAGAGAGAGATGGAGGGAGGGAGTGGAAGAGAGAGATAGAGATAGAGATGAGATAGAGATAGAGACAGAGACAGAGAACTGGATAAGAGAGAGTGAGAGAGAGAGAGAGAGATCCTTCATCTGCCGATTCACTCCTCAAATGGCCATAGCCACAAAGGCTGGGGCAGTTCAAGGCCAGGGCTAGTCCAGGCTAAAGCTAGGAGCCCAGATCCTCATCCAGGTCTGTAGGATAAGTCTTGTTATATCATTTTGCCTTTTAGGTATCAAATTTAGTTTCCTTGACTCCCTTAAAATTCTGAGTTGGTTGTAGGCTGTAGTAAGTGCTCTTCTGCTTAAAACAGCTATGGTCAACTCTGTCGTCTACAACTAAAAATCCTGAAGGTGGAGATTTTTGAAAATTGACAAAACCTCATATAGGTCTCTTAATATAAAATAGTTTCAATCATACATACATGTAGTAAAAATAATTATTAAGCATTATACATTGGAATAGAATGCTGCAAATATATTGGAAAATTAAACTGATTTCAGTCCCACAAATGGAAGTTAAAATCTTTTGGGGCGGACATATTCTTAACAAGTATATGGAAGCAAGTAAGTATACACTAAAAAAGTAATTGTGTTATGAGGAAGATGGGGGGTGATATATATAGATAGATAAATAGATATAGATAGATTAGATAGATAGATAGATAGATAAAATGGAAACCTAGTTTGATCAGAAGTGGTTGTCTGCAGGAGGAAAAGAAGCCAGTTAGTCAAAGTGTGGGAAGTGAATATCTCCAGGTTAACATCATGTCGTTACATTAAGAGCTTCTGATGAATTTAATCGCTATCAGGTAAGTAACAATTAGTTTAAAAAGGAAAGACCTACAATTTGACAGTAATTGATGGATATTAAGTAATGAAATGCAATTTGGATGACAGGACAAAAGAAGCAAAATGACTTATTTTTGGCAACTGGCTACCTACTTAAGTGTTGTTTCAAATACTGCAAAAAGCTACTTTATTTTCTTAAAGAAAAAGGGATGGTAGTTATGTGTCAGCCAACTTGAGTCAGCACCATTTTTTGGCTAGAAATTTTGGGACCTAACTATGGTGGTAGAATTCCTATGATCTCATGTGAACAGAAAAATGATGTGCAAAGCTAGTAGTTATAAATAACCACACTGACAAGCCGAAGAATGTAAAGCGATCAAATGTTTGTAAACCATCATTAAGACACTGTCAGGAATACTGTGATTACTGCATTTTCTGTTGTTGTTCTTCTAGAGCACCACTAATTTACTAATTTTAAAGATTAATTTTGTCTTTATTGTATTCATTTACTTTTTCAAGGGCTCATGGTTCTAAATGTCGGAGGTGATTTGCTGAAGAGTCAACAGTTAGCTCCTGCAGTTTTAATGAAAGAGACCTGTGATTAACACCGTGGGGAACAAGCTGTATCTTCAAGTCTTTGAGGGCTACTGCTTACACAGATCAAATGGTGTGAAATGTGTGTGATGATCACAATCCCAGCATCTTGAAGATACCTCTTCCAGAATCAGGCATCTTTTCTTACCTTTGCTTGTCCATTTGCATGAGAAATGCACTCCCTTTCCAATCTTGATTTCTTTGTCCAGCTAAACCTGGCAGAGGATATTTTGAATGGGCTCCATGCCACCATGGCAGATGGACCAGGGGCAGGCTAGTTCAGGAGCCAGAATGTATGTTGTATTTGACTAGGAAGGGCACATTGACACCAGTGTGTGAGTGGAAAGAGCACTTGGTGTACAGGCTCCTTCCCTGTGGCTGAGGAGAGGTGACCTGCCCCTCTAGCTGAGCAGTGCATTGACTTTGTAATTCATTGCTAAAACATGTATGCCTAATCTCAGCAGATCTATTTTTCTAGGAAATTAAGGCTAGAAGCTGGGGCGTGTTTGGGGCAGTGGAAGATATAAAGCTTTGTCTCCAACTTGTATTTTGCTAAAAATATTGCGTAGTTATTTCTTCCAAAGAAAAGTCATCATCATTCAAAATTTTACATTGATCACTTACTCTATTCATGCTACTTGCAAGACAGTAAGTCTTATAAGCAGTGTTTCAAACCTCTGCACATAAGTAAAAGTGTACTATCTAATAGCAATTTTATATCTCTTTCATCTTTATATAACCTATTAGTGTGTTCTCAGCTCTTCCCTTCCATTTCTTCAACAGCTTTGATTCTCTCTAAAGACTGCTGTAGTTACGTTTTATAAAGAAGTAATGTGTTGAGAAACATTTTTTTTTTAATCATTGTACACCTCAGTTCCGTCTAACTCCTCCTGCTCTATGCTACCTGCCATTGATGTTACTATTACTCCATGTAAAAACTATCAGGTCATCTTAAGTATCAACATACCTTCTATTTCTGTATACAAACATTCTTTAAAATCTGCCAATTCTATCATCAATTTACCTTTTAATCAAATCTCTTCTTTCCACACACATTTTTGTTACTTTAATCTGCAGTCTCATCATTTCTCACCTATTCCAAGAAAATACTCTTAAGTATTTATCCTAATTTTTTGACATTAGGCAATCCAGGTCATAAATTTTGACACAATCATTTCATGTTGGTTTATCTTAAAGAATTTATTGAACAATTTTTATCTTTAAAGAATTTAGGAAGGCATAAAATGATGGAACATGCATAGCTATAAATATGTAGTTATTATCTATAAAAATGATTCCCATACTAATAATTATCAGTTCCATTATTAATGTGTTTCTGATTGCTCCCATTCTACGCTAACATTCATTATTCAGATGCCACATCAAGCCATGTAATGAACAAAACTCACTGCATTCCTTCACTTCAAATGTATCTAAGATTTTCTCCCATTTCTGCTAAATAAAATGTAAAAATTTTAGCATGTACTAGAAGACATAGTAGAGTTTTTGTGTCTGAAAAATGTCATTTACAACTCTGTGTGTCCATTTATTCCAAAAAATTTATGGATGACCTTTTGCATACCTGGAAGTTAACTGAAAGCTGAATATAGAAAAGTCAACCACTCATTCCCTGTTAGAACTAATAAATCTTGATTTACTTAACCACCCTGAGGTCTAATTTTTTTCATTTATAGATGAAAATCATAGTAACTATGCTTCGAGGCTTGTTTGAAAAAAAAAGTAACATGATTAAGAGCAGATGTGGTTGTTATTTTTAAAAGGAATTTCCAGCAATAATTAAGAGTAATCAATTAAAGATAGAAGCAGAAGTTAAAACTCATAATACTGAGGGAATGCTCTGGATGCAAGGGGGAAAAAAAAACCTGCACATTCATCCATGGTTGTAAAAACAATCTTATTCTTTAGACACACAGGATTATCAATTTTTGTTTGCGCTTATTCCCTTGCATTTAAAGGCAAGGACTCTGGCAGGTGTTTAGCATAGTAGTTAAGATGCTATTTGGGATACTCACAGCCCATATCAGAGTACCCAGATTCAACTTCCAGTTCTGCTTTGATTCTTGTTTCCTGCTCATGCAAACCTTGGGAGGCAGCAGGTGATGGCTCAAGTAGTTAGGTCACTGCCACGCACTTGGGATACCCGGGCTGAGTTCCCAGCTTCTGCCTTTGGCCTGGCCCAGCCCTGTCCATTGCAAGATGTGAAAGTAAGCCAATGAATGGGCACTGTCTTTCTTTTATCTTTTTAGTGAGTAAAGGCAAGTAAAATGATCATATATTAGCATTTGTTTTCCACTTAGCTACTGTGTTTTCATTATTCTATCAATGGTTTTAGTCAATATTTCAACACCAGTAAATTAACATATTTTCTTATTTTTTTATAAAACTAAAATATATTGGCCAATGTTGTGATGTAATGGGTAAAGCTACTGTCTGAGAAGCTGGCACCCAACATGGGTGCTGATCCATGTCCTGGCTGCTTCACTGCCAATCCAGCTCCCTGCTAATGGCCTGCGAAAAGCAGCAGATGGACAATTGTCTGGGTCCCTG